TATATATATATATATATACATATATATATATCTGCACCGCATACTCAGATTAGTTTGTTGAATATCTGCTTGTCAGTTGTAAGCCTCCTTTTATCTGGGATTCGATTCCCCCCCGAGTGTAGGGTGTAGTACTTGAATTCTTAGGTGCATGAGAGATGACCAGGGCTTATATAATAGCCTCTGACCATTCCTTTTTTTTTAAATAAATATATATATTTATATTAGCTGGATTACATAAGGTATAATAATGAAAATTTAACAATTAAATAATATGAAGTAAATATTTTATTAAATTACTAAATTAATACTCATGTTTATTGTAGGCTTAAATTCTAAAAGGGTCTAAGTTAAGCCAAATTCAAGTACAAATCATTTGTCATCAAAGTGAGCACTCGTTCTTTTAATCTATAGTAGTAATTTATTTATTCTTAACTATTTTGCCGTGAATGACACTTGCACATGCTTTTTCCTGATTGCGTTTTTTTAATTGGTCATATTATTATGAATGTTACAACTTTTTACTTTTATGCATTTGGTATATATTATATATAATATATGTTTATATTGACTGTTTGTATGTGCGTGATTGACTATGATAGAATCACCATTTGATGGTATTAGTGGGGGAAATTAAGCTACCTGTGTACGTATATGGTAAAAGATATTGATATTGATGTATCTTAATTGACACAATTTTTTGGCGGTGCTTCTATAACGATTGTGCATATATAGAATGATATTGATTTGTTATTGATGTAGAAATATTCTTTGAAAAATATCAAAGGTTTCTAGTGATTTATTAAAAGCTTGACTGGCATACGTGTTACTTTCTTTCCTTTTCTATTACTGTGGTTTTTAATTATGAGTATTCGCTGACATTGTTTACTTTAATGTTACTTTTAAATTAATATTTTTCAGGTTTAATTAAGTGATTAACATGAGCGTTAGAAGAAATAACGTTTATAGAAGACATAAACAACCAGTAACGATGTAATTTTAAAGATATTGTTAAATTTTTTTTATTAGTGGCTCTTTCATTTGTTAAATAATAATTGAATATATAAAATTTAATTTACATTATCCGACCGTCTGTTCCCGTCTTGGTTAATTCCAAGCCCCGACTTGGTTGTGACATGTATAATCCTAACTCTAAATATATTATCCCTACTTATACTAACAACAATAATAACATAAAAGACAAAATTACCCGTAGGCACCGGCCTAACACAATCTTGATTAAGCCAGACATGTAGTTGGTGTAAAGTGGTTTCAATATACTTCATCTTTGATTAAGTTCCATATGCACATGGAGATCTTTTGGGTTTTTAGAGAATCGCCTAGGTGGTTATGCTGCTAATGTGATGCTTTTGTAGAAGCATTTGCCAACATCTATAAATATGAGGGGACTGGCAACAAGAAGGGTTTCACATTTTGTCGTTTGATTAGCTAGTTGTCTTGGGTATTTTAGGTCATGTGGCTTAAAAGCGCAAGGGTCCAAGCACAACATATGTGTGTGCGAGAGAGAGAGAGTGCTCAATTTCTTTGTCATCATCCATGGCTTGATTTATTCATTAAAATTTATGTTGGAGAAACATTATGATGGTGATCTAACAAGGGTGATATAGCTTCAGTACACCACTTGTGCAAATCCAATAATTATGTGCTAGTAAACTCATGTTAGGGTTGATAGTTGAATTCATAAATGACATTAAAATGCATATGACGATGGTATTTTTTTTCATTCCTAAGATTAGACCTGGGAATGGCCCTATAGCTTTGCCTACCTTGTCTGACTCAATATTCTGTTCTAACAATTGAAGTTGATTTAGTTAAATCCCTGTATGATCCCTAATTGTTTGTATGTGGCCAATTTAATCCTAAAGTATAATATTTCTCCAACATAATCTCTTAAATAAATGATATTCGTTAAAATGGTTTATTAGAGATTCTAAATCGGTTTGTGTCGGGTCAAATCTGGACCAAACTTGACTATACCTGAATCAAACTTATCAAGTGCCTCTGGTTTACCTTGGATGTTCCTTGTGAGAACGAGTTGTGTTCTTCATTTTGTTGAACTTCTCCCTTTATTTGATTCAGTTCAGTACATTGTCTATGACATTAGTTGAATTCACTGTTACCGACATGTGCCCTAAGTATCAATTATTTTTCATTTGCATGAGGGTCGTTACTCGCGGTCTTTGTTACGGAATTTTTCTTTTGCCATTGTGTATTGTTGTTCAGTGCCTTAGTTTCATGAATCAATTCTTTGGCCACCCTTGACTATTTTTATTTGTTGCCTCGATCTTTAATTTTAGTGACTTGTGGTTATAAGATTTATTATTATTATAGTTTCTCTAATATAATCACGTCACTATTTCCTTCCTATCCAAAACACGTAAATATATAAATATTTTGTTTTTTTTTACTTTATTTAATTGTCAATCACCTTTTCTTTACTTAGCACCAGTCCATAATGTACACTCATTCTAATTATTTTTTTTTTTATGAATAATTATCATGCAGGCTCCCAAGTTTGAGTTGTGCTTTGTTTTTTTCAACGACCTTAAAACCTCCTCTTTGATTCTTGTGATTTAAGTCACACTTCATTTATATTGTTTTACCAAAATATTCAATTAAGTGTTAATAGATACAAAGACTTCTCCATTTTTTCCTCTATTTACTTTCTCTTTCGATGTAGAAATTACCCATTCTCACTTGAACTTAGTGTCGGTTATGTCGAACAATTTTCTATGATTTCACCTCCCCGTTATTGACCTCTTACAATATAAACAATGGTGGATCCAACAATATCAACCGCTTTAAAGCTAACTATGAGATAATCCTCTAGATTGTTGTTTTGTTGCAACCCAAGCATTGATGGACTAAACTCATTAGAGGCAATAAGGCTAGCAAAATCGATAAGAAGTGCAAAGATAGGAGATAAATTGGTTTGCTCGACAATATAGTCAAATGTGATGCCAGTAATGGTGATGCAAAGACTTGTTGGAGGACAAAGTAGTCCAATGTAGGGGGGAGGGATGGATTTGACGATGGAGAAGTGGTTGATGGATCTGTTAGATGAGGAGCTGAAGGCAATGGTGGATGCAAAGAGGTAGTAGGAGCAAGCACCAATGATGCTGTCAATCTTGTTCATGACTGAGACTTTCATTATATTCTTGGCAGTTATGGAGCTACTAGGTTAGATGTTATTCACATAACCTAACCTAACCCATAAGAGAAATATCAAGGATGAACATATTTTTATTATAAAACTTAACGTTGTCCAATTTATGTGAAAAAAATTTATCAACTAAATTAATGGATGGTTTTATGTTGTTAGCAAAAATGTATCTCTTTGAGACCGGAAACCAAGCAGAGATACAGCAAAAGCTCTAAAGGATCAAGGGATTAAAATGGAGTGTTTTTAAAGTTGTAGCATTATGTGAAACATCACTCAAAATTTTGGGACATAATACTACTCGTTTTAATGCATCTTATCATAGTATTCTTGACATCTATGGAGCTAGTGTGCTAGATGTTTGAACTATTGATTCACATCGCCTGACTTAAACCATAAGATAAATCTTGTGAAGGTATTTTGATTACAAAAAAATTAATTTTATCCAAATTTAAGTGAGAAAAAAAATATTACTCCAACTAAATTGATGGATTATTCAATATCTTTAGCAAAATTCAAGGTCTTTGCAGAAGGGAAACCGAGTTGGGAGCTATAGCAGAACCACTGCAGGATTAAAATGGAGGTTTTTTAAAATTGTAGAACTGTGTGAAGCACAGTTTAAAACTGTGGGACCTAAATAACATCCACGCTTTTTAAATTGTATTGTTAAGTTACATTTATTTCTCTCATTAAACAGTACTTGTGAGGCACTTATTCATACACTGAACTTTTTGTAGTAGTAGTTCTTTTGATTGATCAATCAAAAAATCGTAGCAGTAGAACAATACATTTTGACATTGGTTTCTTTTATCCTTTGTCTGCACTTGATTAATTAGTTGGATCTTGTCAGATCTCTTACTTGATCACTGTTGATAAATTTTGATTAACTTGTCTGTCCTTGCTTCTGGATTTTAGAGACAACTGCTCCATTATCTTGGGCAACAAGAATGATGATTGCCCTTGGTGCTGCCAGAGGGCTTGCTTTCCTGCACCATGCAGAGAAACCTATCATCTACCGTGACTTTAAGACCTCAAATATATTACTGGACTCTGTTAAGTACAGATCTTTGTTTTGATCGATTCATTTCCTAGGTTTTGACATCTTTTTGATATTTTTCTAGTTTATTGTCTTGACTTTGCTTCTTTTTTAGGACTATACAGCAAAGCTATCTGATTTTGGGCTTGCAAAAGCAGGGCCACAAGGTGACGAGACCCATGTTTCGACGCGGGTTATGGGCACCTATGGATATGCTGCTCCAGAATATGTCATGACTGGTATTAAGCTCTTTCTGAATAAAAAAAAGGAGGCATTTACAAACATATCACCCAATTCCTACGGATTTACATATCTAATGCCTAAAATTTACTTTCTACATGTATACCAACCAAGTCTTTCATACAACAACAACAACAACAAACCTTTATCCCACTAAGTGGGGTTGGCTACATGAATCCTTTTCTCCATTGCTTCCTATTGAGTGTCATATTTTCATTTAATTCTAATAAATTTATATCATTTTTTATACAATATTCCCAAGTCTTTCTAGGTCTATCTCTGCCTTTCTTAACATAAATCGAAACATAAAAAATCGAATCTAAAACATCTACTTTCCTAATAGGATCATCAGATGGTCGACGTTTAATGTGACCAAACCATCTAAGACAACTCTCTCAAATTTTGTCCGCCATTGGAGCTACACCAACCCTACCACGGATATTTTCATTTCGCATTTTGTCTCTAAGTAGTTTTATGATTCTCTTTTAAAGGCCAACATTTCAACGCCTTAGAGCATTGCAGGTCTCACCACCAAATCATTCAACATCACATAAAAAAATGTCACTTTTTTTATTTTTAAAATGTAAAATACACCCTTTCATTTATTAGTAAGGTGGTATGCGTGTAAAAATTGAAGTTAAGATTTTAGATATGTAAATACATAGGAATTGAGGTGTGTCTGTAAATCTTCCAAAAAAATGTTTGCCAGCTTCTGTTCAGTCTGTCTTCAATATTATATACAGCATGGCTGCTTCTATGTTTTATGGCTTTTGTACTGTGTTTGATCAAAGTAGTTTTCAAATTTCTATACTATTTATTCCAGCCTTAATTAACTTACGATTTAGTATTGTCATCTGGCTAAGTTGAGCCATGCAACTTCATGTTCAACATTGGATTTTTTTTCTACCACCCACTCAAACTAGATACCACATTATGCTTTATTATAAGTGTTACCGCTCCAGTTCAACTTGTTTATGAAAGGCGCAACTTAAAACGCAAACTTCTTGTTGATCTTCCTCTTTCTTTTATCAAATTTCTATGAAATTACTCGGTTCTCTATTGGATTTATCTTTGGTTGAAACAATAGAAATTGTGCTTTTATAGAGAAACTTTTGAGAAAGATGGGGAGTACGTAGTGTTCTTAAGATGAGAAACAGTGAGAAAGCTTTAGGGTTCACACCAGGAGAAAATCTGTCATATTCTTTCCTTGGGATTTATGCCTTCCATGGCAGGAAGAGGAATGCACGAAAAGTCTCAGGAATCAAGATTCCTGTGATGGGAGAGGAAGACAACTGGTAGGATAGAGGAGAGAGAAATGAGGAAATTGAACCTTTCAAATTTCTTTCATAATTTATAATGAAACTATTATTCATCTAACTACTACTTATAGAAATAAAATTACAAGTCAATTCAAATTTAGTTCCAGATAAGAACTAAATTTTATCATTCAAAATAAGGATAATCCTAATAATTTGATTCAATAAAATTGAATCAAAATCCCCAAATTATTAAAAAATTCCAAGAAAACATTCAACAAGTTCAGAATAATTTTGATGCGTTTCTTATAGAGCATTATCCCCTCGCAGAACCTGAGTGTTTCTCCCACTAGTGAAATTAAACAGATTTTCACTGAGTAACGGAAAAGTATATGCATGTTTTTTTCTATAAAAATTAAACCATCTCTCTATCCAGACTTAGATCTTTAGAATCCATAGGGAAATGTGATATGTTTACGAGCTTATAGCAGAGGAAGAGGATAATGGCTGAATTATGGGTAATTGATGGCAGTCAATGAGGAAGTATTTCAAAGAGCGGATGATGCTTGCTGTAGTCTATGGCATTGAAGTGAGAATACCTTGTTGGATCAACCTGTTGATCATGAGAATTAGTCTAAGGGAGTACTTGGTTGCTTGTAGGCACAATATACATTATATAAAGTCAATGAACTTTGATACAATGCATTATAATGCAGTTTCTAATTAGAAGTCATTATGGTTTTTTACTGCAGATACTCTCAAAAAGAATTATTTTATTTCACATATAAAATTAATGAAAAGTTCATTAGTTTCTATAACCTGTTTTACTATTTTGTGTGGATTAATAACTAATATGGGCTCTAAGTGAGACTGTTCTGAGATTCCTAAATGTAATTTAGGGGTGGATATAGGGGGCAGATATTGTGAAATAGCAAGAGAAACATAATATGCGAAGTTGGTGTAGTTTGGAAGGGGATTAGAAAAGTTTGGCAGCTGTCCGGATTGAAAAGAGCAGGAGAACAATGAAACTAGCGATTCAGCATGGCTGCCGAGAGAGGTCCACCACCTATTCCCAAATAAGCTATTGACACACCATTTGCAAAAGTAAAAGGATACATCTTACAGCACATCTTAGGATAGAAAAATCAGAGAAAACATTTTCTAAATACATAAACCAAACACAAGCGTCCCAAGCCCAGAAATTAACATGTAAATAGTTTCTATGCATCTATTTCAAATATTATAAAAAAAGGGGCCCACAAGGCTTGACATAAGTTAGTATGCGGGAAAGTCCCACTACAGGACTCCATGGGACTGGATTCCATTCTTATCTTGATTCTCGCTTAAGCGAGGATCGTGGAATCGCTCCTGTACCACTTAGGGCTCATTTGGCTGACTGTAAATAGAAAACTAGTTTAAGAAAATGATGATTTGATTTTGATTCATGTTGAGTGTGACAAATAAATAATCACTGCTAAGGTGGTTCGGGGTCATTTTGTGGAGTTTTAAATCACTGTTATACCTAAATAGATGCAAACAGATGATGAATTTAACGAATTTCAATCTTTTCTGAAAGCATGATTTCTGTCTTTAAGCAATCATAGGAGTTCTTAGGAAAGTAGACAAATTTCTTTGGAAGTAGTGGTTTTACCATGAGGTCAAATAAAATCTCTAAATAGTTGATGAACGGGGAACCTGAGGCATTTTTATCCAACAGGTTTATGTTGTGCCAGATTCAAATCTCCTGCAAACTGTACGCAAACGGTACTATTAAAGGACCCATACATAGCCACTCGAACTTCTAACATCACTAGGTTGAGTTGTCATGATTTATTTTTATAATGTCAATGATGAATATCTTTGCTCTCTCATTCATTTCAATTATTCAGATGTTAAACACAGAATTAGAATAACTTTTTAGCATTGTTTTCTGAACTTGAGATTCATGAGACACTTAATCGCGGACTCATTAATAAGAATTTTTTCAATAGCCATGAATTGATCCTTGGTAGATTTACGAAGGTGCTTAAAACCGTTTCGTAATCCTTGTAATAACTTATTTAATAATTTTTTCAATTAGGAAGATTTGGGCTTATTGTATAAAAAATGCTCTTGTTTGTTGCTGTCCTGTATCTATGAAAGATTAGTTTGTACCGCAAAACCTCCTTTTTGGCTCCATCTTTAACAGAACATTGAACACTTTTGAAGGTTCTAATTGATATGGTTTTAAGATGGAGCAGCCTTTTATGTAACTAATCGCTCTTCATTCACAAACTCATACCCTCACCACACCAAGCCCAAATCAGTTCATCTCCCCTCTCCTCTCCAGATGGTACTTCGGAGAATAGTTTTGCACACTAAGAGCACTTATTTCCATCCCTACTCTCCTTAGATGATTGTCATACAAAGCCTGCTATAATGAAGGAAACCTCAGTCAAATTTGAGCCATCAAAGCTCTCAGCTATTTTTGCTTATTGTAGGATCTTTACTGTTTGGTTTACCTCACAGGTGCCTGAACCTGTACTGTAATACTTCTGCATCTTCTTCTACAAAACCTCATTTCACCTTCCCTCCATGTAATTTTATTCCATGTTTCTCTTCTGATACACCATTGAATCCCAAAAAAATCTCTCAACAGGTCATTTGACCTCAAGGAGTGATGTCTACAGCTTCGGAGTCGTCCTTCTTGAGCTTTTAACTGGCCGGAAATCCATAGACAAGACCCGGCCTGGCAAGGAGCAGAGCCTTGTAGACTGGGCTCGTCCCAGGCTCAATGACAAGAAGAAGCTGCTCCAAATCCTTGATCCGAATCTGGAGGGCCAGTACTCCATGAGAGCAGCTCATAAGGCTTGCAGTCTTGCCTTCTACTGCCTCAGCCAGAACCCAAAGGCAAGACCTCTAATGAGTGATGTAGTGGAGACATTGGAGCCACTGCAGGCGAGCGATAATGGCATAAGCGGCATCCCTGACTGCAGGATGAACAGAAGGCTTGCAGCTACCAGCATGGGTTGTCGGCCAATTCCGACAGCGAAGTGTTCTTCGCCCGGCACTGTGGCCGCTTGCCGAGTGAGATGATCCTCCTCTTGTACATTTGATGATTCTACTTGTTGACTTGCTATGTGCGTCTGTGTTTTATCTTTGTGGGCTATTTTCCTTATTTTTGTTGTTAATGCTGCAATCTTAGGAGAGGAAACCCAGCCAAAGGCAGGGTTTTTGTTGGAGTAATGGATCTGTAGTTGTGCGCTCAAGAGGCTGATGTCTTTTTGTTACCTCAGTGCTCGTTTGAGGATGCGGTGGTTGTAGTGCTTGTGTTGTGTTGTGTTCTTTAGTTCTGTACTCTGGCAATATTTTAAGGCCCAAATCATCTTATTTTCTCTTATGTGACTATTCATCCTTCAAGAGAGTATTATGATGATAATGTGATCATGAAACTAATCATTATCCAGCTTACATATGATTGTGATTTTGTGATAACATAAAATGAAAATTGCATGTGAATTCAATTTTATCATTTTGAAGAATTAGGGTCTATTTGATTTTCTCATTGCTTTTGCTTTTCAGATCATAAATTTGTGTAGAGGACATACTTAGCCAAAGTTAGCCAAAGTGAGATGACTTTTCGTAGAGGACATACTTAGCCAAAGTGAGATGACTTTTCAAAAAAAAAAACCTAGCTAAAAGCGTATACATAAGAATTGTGACATTCACGTGTTAGCTACACCTAGTGGGGGTTAGCATAGACTGCCATAAAATATTTTTTAGGTTATCTTAAGGGACATGTTCCATTATTAATTAATCTACCAACATTTATTGGTTCATTTTTTTGTTAGAGGGTTAGTCGCTCTAGAAGTCAATTTGGAGCTTTAAAAGGAATACATTTCTAAAGTTGTAATACAATTGAATGTTCAAATATGAACTAGAATCATAAAATTAAAATTGATATTTAAAAATTAAGATTTGAAAAAGTGTGGAATTGAAATGGCAATCCCAAGTGCATGGGCAAAGTGACACCTTATTTTCCTTGGTTAAATGAATTTAGAGAATAATAAAATCAATTAATTTTTTTTAAAAAATTAGTCAAACCATGGTCAAAGTGAATTGCTTGACTTTCCAAATGCCTTGGGCAAATATTAAACCTATTTTTATAATTGTTTAATATTTTTTAAAATCATCACCCAAGAGGTAAAATAATATAAAAAATACTTAATAAAATTAAAAAAAAATTGCTAAAATATTGGGCATTTTTTTGTTTAACTTTAGACTGGAAATCTCAAATTAAGCCTATTAGTGAAATAATTTTTTTATTATTATTAAATAGAATTTTTAAAAATGAAAAATACTTAGTATAATGCACATATATCCAATACACATGGAATTTTAAATCCATTCCAGTGAATAAGGAATAAATATTTCTAAATAATTCTAAATTTATTAAATTTTTTTGATATTTTCTATTGTTAATATTATAATAATCATAAAGAAAAGCTTTAAATTTTGAAAAAAAATCTAAATTATTAATTTTGTTTAATAAATACTTAAAATGATATTTAGAATGAAAATAGTAGATGAATAGCAAGATGAATCAGTTCAGGGTGAACCAAATCTAAAAGTTAACAAATAAATACTAACATCAATGGTTGTATTGCTTACGAATAATACACGAAAAAACCCAATTAGCGTCGGATACTGATGCTACTTGAGTATTTTTCCGACACTAATTCAGATCAGCGTCAAAATAGCGTTGGTTTTTTATGACGTTAAAATGAGAGTTACTAATTTATTTTGCGTCGACATTAGCGTCAGATTTTAATTTGCATCTTAATTAGCGTTAACAATAGCTGTCGCTAAGAAATACCGTCAAACATGCAAGCGATGTTGGAGTAACGACGCAACCACACCAAAAAAGGTCGTCGCTAATTAACGAATGTGTAAGGACGTGCAACTCTACAGTGGTTGGCTCTCTATAAAGCTTTTTGGTCTGTCTACATGATTAGATAAAAACATAAGTCATATAATTACATAAATATGTAAGCTTTTGAATTTTGGCATAATCTTACCAGCCTTCAATAGTGCTCCGTGTGGTGGAACGAACTTCCAATGTGGAGTGCAACCCCTCTGGTTGCCTCTGGTGTCCAGTTTTGTTGATTTGTCTGCCTCTTTCTCTGGTACTCCGGAGAGGCTCATGCTCGGTTTTACTCAACCGGGACTTCCTCCCCAACCCACTAGGGCCTCTACTCCTTCTTACTCATCGTCGTGAACATTTCCTCGAGTCTATGCCTGACATGAATTTCAAAAATATGTTGGAGCTGCTTGTGATGTTCCAGCATCCTATAAAATGACCTCTACAAATTAGAATGTAAGCTTGATTAGCATATAAACAAAGGTAGATATTAGCTCTTTATTTCAAATTTACATATCATAAATTGAACTTCCTAAAACATATCCCGAGTGGCAATCAAGATATGCTGCCATGAGAGATATGGCTGGTCATATTTGCTCCGGGTGATCTTCGTGGTCTGCGTCAAGGGCGGCCTGAAGGGGTATAACCTGCAAACAATTCATTATGTACATTATAAAATTGAATGAAAAATTGAAATTGGTATATTGTAAAAAAATAAAGTTGACTTACGAGTCTTCCTCTGACTCAATATAGACTCTACCGGGGGTGTGCTGGAGTCGAGGGCCCTGACTCATCGGATGAGGATGATGGGTGAAAATAAGGTGGAGTGGGAGGTGCTGCCTACCAGGTACTTGGTGCAGGATGAGGGGCAACAGAAGGGGTTACGGGACTGACTGCATAAGTGTCGTACCTGTCAATGATAATGATAGCCTTCTTCAGCCTCCGATACGTGTTCCATAAAGTCCCTTGAACCCAATATCTCGGAAGGCTGAGAACGTTCCATCTGCAATGGGAAAAAAAAACTAGAATTAATAAGCATGATTAGTATGTAATATAAAACAAAAAAGCAAAAACAGAAAAGTGAAACATGTCGTGTCTACGCATAAAATCAAGAAAATTTAACAAGATAACTACAATGTAAGAAGCAAAAGTAAAAGAAAAAAGGAACAAAAACTAATCATCTAAGTATACATACCATTTTTAATCTATTTCATTCGATGATCTAAATATTGAAGAACTTAAAATTTGTTTGTCAATCTTTTCATTATGTTCATCCATAGCTAGAGAGACTTCTTCATGATTCCCCGTGGTATCCTCTAGGGGCAACTCTTCATTGATTGAGCTAAGCTGAATAATAAAAATTAGAAAAAAACTGACTCTTCATGATTACGTTCAATAAAATTCTACATCTCAATAATGTTTCATGGCCTATTCTTCAATACAATAGCCCAATCAAGTTTATGCCTTGCTCGTCTAAGATATTAAACATGAAAAACCTGATTAGCCTGAATTGCTAAAATAAATGGGTCATACTTTGCATATCTTCTGTTCATCTTAACTTCAACACTATAATATGGGTCTAGTGTCTGAGTTCCTCGATTAGGAATGGGATTCAACCACTCACAATTGAACATGTAGACATTGCATTCAACATAGTCCAGATATTGCAATTGAAGTGTTTCATTTTGTATGTCATAATAGCTGATCTCATTATCAGTGTCTGTTTCCTCTAACACAAACACCACAATTATAAGTTTATTTTCCTTTGTGTGAAATTTGTAACCATTAACTTCCATTATTAGTTATGCCTTCATGCTAAGATTAGGTCCCCAAGCAAGATCTAATAAGTCTTGTTATGTGATTATGTTGCTTGTGTCATGAACATAGTAGAGGTTCCATAGCATAATTAATATAACTTTGTATAGTACGATTACACAATATATCAATAAATTTAAAAGTCACTTCAACGTAGTTGTAATTTGAACCGTTTTGAAAATTCTACTTCCATTTTTCTTGCTTACAAGAGAGTCATCCTCTACATTCAGACTCTCCATAAATAACCTACAGACATCATTGTGACTTGTATGTCTGAATTAATTTGTAAAGCATTTCGTAAAAAAAAAATGTTTGATTATATTTAATCTTACTATAGGGATGGTTGTACTTCATTGTAGTTCAGTAAAACATACAAAGTAACTTTTTGAAGCTCTCCATCATTTAGATAACACGTACATGCCTATCTAATGGTTCATCGGATATCTGGAATGTTCATAAATCTTTTTGCAAAGACATCTAACCAACAGTTTTATGTGTATGTTGCCATTAATAAAAGTAATAAGAACAAAAAGTAGTTGTCTCCTTTAATAGGTATATCTCACGCCTCAAACCCTCAGGACGTGATTTATTCTTAATTGTCTTTTTTCTTTTATTAAAAAATCTGCACAATATAGTCTTTTTAGGAAAAATAAGATAATATTTCACTCTAAAATAAAAGATATATCCACCTGTACTACATCGGACCCCGCAGTAAAGTCTTATGACACAGATGAACAGACAGATGCTCCATAAAGTCAAGAAAGCTGGGAGGAAATATCCGTTCGAGCTTGCACATCAATAATGTAATACTTGCGTCAAGATTTTACAAAGAATGAACAACTAATGTGCCTGAGCAAAACTCCTTGAAGAATGTACTAATTTTGATCAATGGATCGAGTACCAGCTTTTACGAAGTATTAAATGCAATATATAATAAGTACTACATGAAAATATGACAATCGTGACTCTTCATGCCAAATATTTTCCCCGTGCCCAAATCAACACATCGGCTTATGTTATAGGCACAACCACTTGGAAACTTCAAAGAATGCAACAACTTAAATATTTTTTTTTCATTTATTCGATGTGAGATAATATGTTGTTTTGAGCTTCTATTACTTTACCTATATTTATCTCTTGCAGTTCTAACCCCTTCATCTTGCAATATTCTTTCAAATCCATACTTGCATTGACGTTGTCCTTTGTTTTTCCCTTGATATCAAACCCCTTTAGATAGCTCAATGACATCATTTTAAGCTTTAAACATTTTTATTTGGCATGATGATCGTTATATTAATAGTTAGGGATTTTCAAAGGCATAGAATATCAATTAAAAGTCATAACAATATTTTCATTGATTCAAAAATTCTTAAAATTTTAGGTTGGTTCTCTTTATATATATATATATATATATATATATATATATATATATACACAATATCAATTTAATATTGCTCAAATAAAAATTACCTACAAGTTGTCTTCTAAAAAGGTTGGCATATGGCCATGACATGCATTTCTCAGGTTTAGAGGTTGTTTTAAGCAATTTATTTATTTTTTTAAAACTATTTTGGTTGATTCTCTATTTCTCATAATTTAAATAAATTTTATTTTAAC